CTCAATTTATTTCACAGATGCATCAGTGGGTGCCAAGCTACAAGCTTTCAAGCAACACGGTTTTCAGAAGGGACATCATAAATCCTTCAAGCATTTAGCCAAATGTATAACCTTATAATTAAAACAAAATAAATTCCCTATAAAGTGCCCACCAGAGAGCGATTCACTGAAATGAGTGATGGAAAAGGAACCACATGCTCGCATTATAGCTGCAAAAGATAAACTAGACAGACTCAAAGCACAGTAAAATGCACGACTTCATGTATTGAGATAAAAAAAAAAGGACAGGTGTACAATACCTGCCTGCCCAATATCAAAACTTCCAGTATGTGGAAAAAAGGGGGTCTTAAAACAAACGTGGCTGGACAAATTGAGTGACAAAAACACTAAATGCTCCTTTTGCTGAAAATCGGAAACATTAACAATGTTGGGCTCCGTTGTCCATGTGGAATCACTGTGGCATGGCTGTAATGTTTTTCCCTATTCCCATGACATGCTAAGCAGAGAGCTCTGTTTCCTTTCCGTTTTCAGTCATAGTGAAAGTGCGGCCGAGACAACTTTTCTGGAAGCTGTTATTGTAGTGTCCTTCAGCAATTTACATGGTTTCCTTTTTACAAGTTTTTGGGGTCAGGAAGGAAGAGCTTTCTATTCCTCGGAGCATTCCTTAGCCTTTCTGCATCATCCAATTGTTAGTTTTGGCCCACATTATCAGTGAAAATAAACTCTCATAGAGGCAGTCACCCCTAAAATAGATAGCTTTCTCCTTGGATCCCTAGGCATGCTGTGTGGCCCTCTGATAGCACTAAGTAGAGAAACATATTCACCCTTTCTCGTATGAACTCCCAGTATGTAAGGCAAACAAGCTGCTGCCCACATGTCGATATATCCTTTTAAACCACTGTTTATGCAGCAGAGTACATGTTTCTCAAGAGGCAGAATGATGGGATTTTCACAGGGATAAGACAGTGTGGATAGTTATTTCCCCTCCCTTTGTACAACAGCTTAGTTTGGCACAGGCCAGCCTTCTCAAGAAACACTGCTCTCAACCACTCGTTACCATCTCCGCCAGGAGGGAAACGAGAGGATCCATTACTTTCTCTCAGAAAAGCAGAAACAAAATTTGGCTTGCTAAACTTGTATCTGTGCCAAAGTTTCCTTGTCCTTGAAATATTAATGAAAGAAGAAAGGATATTCTCTGAACGTGTTATAAAATGCATGATTCATAGTCAGCCTTATATTTATCCTTAAAACCCATCCATTCTCATGTTTCCAACAAGAGTAATCCTCATTGCACTTCTGATCAAGAAGCCAAACTAGCATAACTATAACAACATTTTACTGTGATTAGAGTTTATTTTCAAAACTCAACACTTTAAGAAAGATGAAAATTGTCTTAAATGACATAGAGCAGGTATTGAATTCTTAATATCCCTTGTTTGAATGTCTCTTTTCCTAAAACTGCAGACAATAAAAAAAACATGTAACAGCAGTTTTTGCTAAATGAGTTTGAGGTTGTTTTTTTTTGCATTTGACTGTCGTTCCAGTTTGTAATTTCATGTAGTTTATCTGATTAGTTGGTTTTTAAACTTGATTTGTGGCTGCAGTAAGATAGTGGATGTTTGAGTCATACATCGCTGAATGTTTCAAATTGAGGAAGGTATCTCAAAAGGTCAATCTAACTTTCTTTAAATAATCTTCTGACAATTGACAACTTGTGTCTGGGATAGACAAAAATCACATTGATAATTGATCATATATTTTATTGTTAATTCCAGCACTGCCTTTTTTTCCATGCTCTGTTAAAAATGTAATACACAACTAAAGGCTCATTGTTATTGTTTTATGTTTGAAGTAGTTTGTTTTCTGCTACATCTTCTCTCTGAGTTCAGAGCCAAGCTTGTCTGAGGCTCCTTGCCTTGCTGGAAGGCCAGGGAAGTAATCATTGGACAAACACAAGCCACCTTTGACTGGTCAGGAATGTTATCAGGGTCCATATACTCTACCCTGGGTTGACTTAAAATGCTTCCCCAACAGCTGTTTGCTGCATCATTCTCTCCCGTCTATCCCCCACACTGAACTGAGCACCGAACCACGGGTGTGCTATCTGGATCGTCTCCTCCGTCCGTCTCTTTCATCAGGACTGGCTGGAGCAACATCAGGGCGAGCTTTCACTTAGACAAGCAGTAAAAAGGCTGGCTTGATTGAGATAGATAGACTGGCCAGGACACTTAATCTTCTGTCCAATGAAAAATGTTAACTGCATCCTGATGTTCCCCCCCCATGCAGTGCAATTAGGCTGAATTACCACTGTGTGTTTAAGTGTCCCCTCTGAAATGTCTACGCCAATTCCTTTCTTCTGTTAATCTTTTACTTTGTGTTTTTTTAAAGTTTGATATTTTCCAAAAGCCCATCCTTTCAGGGAATTATGTTTTACAAACATCAGTCATTACTTAATAGAGCGATGTCTATTCTAGAAATTTAAAATAATTTAAACTATTTTTACATTTGAAATGAAGTATATGTGCAGTCAAGCAAAACTCCAGAGTGTCAGGAAAGAGGTATGCTAGTATAAATGGTGATGGCAGACGTTTTCAAACACACCCTTCTTCAAATCTAAGGAGAAAGTTACACGAGAGGTCTCATTAGTCAAACCTTCAGTCTACAAACGCTGCCGTTGTGTTTTCATAGTATCACTTGTACTATCAAAGACGGATGAGGTCCATTGAGCAAAGATAAAGCCAGTGTTATTTCACCCCTGGCCTTTCTTGACACATGGATCGCTTTTGGGAGCAATGCAGAAACACACAGGTTTACAGACTTTAAATAGCACACTGGTGTAGAAACTCATCAATAAAAAAAAAGGTGCAGGCCTTTCTGTTTCTTTGATTAGATAAAAGCATATTTGTGTTCAGCCCTCAAAATCTAAAAACTCAATTGATAGTGAATATATATACATGTACACCATGTTTTAAACCTTGACATACACCATGAACATTAAATTCCTACACTAAACTGAGATAAAGCCAGTAATATACAGTACCGATGATAAGCTGATATTTCACAGATTCTGAACTGTAAACTCAAAATACCTCTCATACAGTATTTTATCGGAATTGTATCTGCTCTAGCTTAAGTAACATAATCTGCCTTTGCAGGAGGGTGGAGCCGCCTCCAATTGCAAACTCAATCAACATCTTGCTGTAACATACTGCGACCAACGCCTGGGTAATTTATGAGGAATTACTATTTCCTATAACCTGAGGAGTGAGAAGTTTACTTTGAGAGTAAATGAAAAGCAGGCACACACCAGCGTAGCTCAGACACATTTGGGGAGGACATGCTTATTGCTAATGAAAAGAGTTGGGGTATTGATGAAGTTCAGGGTGATTCATTTTCCCAGTCCCTCTGTAATCAATCAAATCCATCAGGTGTTATCTGCGCAGGCAAAAGATTTGCAGACAAAAAAATAAACCATTAGCTTTAAGCAATTAATCACAGATTAAGCCTCCTAATCTTGTTTGAGAACAATATTTTGGAAAGTTGAGGAGCCGGTTATGCCGAAATTGAAAGTTTGTTTATTTGATTCAAGTATTCATTTCAGGAAGATAGTCTCGCTCTCTTTGGAGACACAAAGTCTCAAAGCTTAGAAAAGCAAAGTGCCTGCCAAGCCATATCAGTGATGGCCTCCCGATTTGCAACCCATTAACATTACAGTAGAACCATATTTGAACATAGTACACACCTTGGTGGCTCTATACATAAATTCTAATTTGGTTGTTAAAGACTTATTAAATGCGAGTTATTAAACATAATATCAGCAAAAAAAAATATGAAGATTATGTTGCTTTTATTATACAGAAGAATCAAACAGGTTCAAGTTTTCTTCTTTTATTCAAGTCTGGATTTTCGAGTTGTACTCGCACGTCCTTGGCTTGAATAAATAAAGGGAGCATTCTCTTTCTCTGTCTGTTCCTCCTCTGAGTGTCTCTAGGGGCTCTTTCTCTGACTTCCTGCCATTAAAGAGACAGCCCACTGGAGAACAGGGGGCGACTGACATATAACTACCTCTGCTCTATGACCGACGCTCCGTGCAACTCAATGGGACATCTGTGGAATTTACTTAAAGGGTAGTTTGCTCAGGGAAAAATAAAGAGTAAGTTGTAAAAAATAGATAGTGTTTGCTGGTCGGCTACATAGCGGCAGACCGGAGTCGCTGCAGTACAAGATGTCTAGAGAAGCCAGAATATCAGACAGCTGTGAGTCATCCAGAACAAAAAGTTCAAATCAGCCAATGTACACAGTTACATAACAGCATAGCAGGGATGATAGTATAAATCATGTTGCTTACTCTGTCTTATCGATTATTAAATACACATTCTGTTTTCTGATAAAAGCCTTGTTTTAAAAAAATGTAAATTATCAGCAACAAAAGGAAATACATCTATCCTGTGAGTTGACCAAACTTATTTTGAGATTTTATAATAATTTACAATATGTTGCATCCAGTTTATCCCCATTTTCTGTGCACTTTTTCACTGCCATCCCTGCTCCTCATTTCACTTTGAGTCTGGCAACATAGAATCACCCAAACAAAAATCCTTTCCCTTTAAAGCACATAAACACTTCTTCTGACAAACACTTTGACAAATAATGTGAGGACTACAAGAAAACAGCAAACACGGCCTGGATTTAGTTTGAGAGCCTCATCCAGAAACCAAAACAAGTTATCTTGTGAAGCCACAAACTAGACACTCTGCGGAGACCACACACCCACGGAAACACAAATATCACAACAAATAAACTACAGCGTGACCACTTCAAAAGAAACTAGAGCCGGTCCCATGCAGGGTTGTTGTAGATGCGATTCAATACGTACAATTTTCAGCATGAATCTAAATAAACAAGACAAATGTAACTGCATTCCCATTTGACCTGCTGTTAAGAAAATGTGACGCAATATCAAACAACCGATAATCAGATTAAAAAAAATGCATCCTTACCTTCTGTAGCCACTGGGTGTAATTCGCCATAATGTGCTCGAGCTGCTCGATCTTCTGGCTGGGTAACTCCGGCTCAGTTGGCGGAGCGTCTCTCTGGAGAGAGTTGTGCTCTGGGCTACCGGCTTTCGCCTCCCTGCAGGCGCCTCCTCTGGCTCCGTCTCCCTCAGGTAGGATGAATGTATAGGTGCACTGGCCATGCTGGATCTTATGAAATTTCCTGTTGCTGTAATTACTGTTACTACTTCCTCCATTACTGCTGCTACTGCTACTGCTACTACTGCTGCTGCTGCTGCCACCTGTGCTGCTGCTTTCTGTCCCTCTCCGCTGATCCCCTCCTCCGCAGCTCACGATCACCAGAAATGCTCCCAGCGAGATTAAGTGCCGGCCAAAGTTGTACCACAGCATCATATCAGCCTCGAGTAAAGGTTGCAGGTGAATTCAGTTACTTGATCTTCTTTGTTTAGCTGGATGTTCCTTTAAAGCTGGATCAGAAGGTGGTGAGGAACATTGTTAGCCTGTGTCATCCATCCTTACATTGGACCTCCAGCATTGAAAGCTTCTGCTTCTCTCACCTTGGAAACGTACATTAAGTTTTCATCCTGGCCGGGAAAGTTGCACGCATGTCTTGCAGTGTGACAGCTCTGTTATAAATCTTGATGTTTCTCCAGGAAATCAAAGCCAGACTGTGTGCTTGCATTGATCCATCTGTGCATTTAAAATAAGGTGCCGAGCGAGCTGAGATGGTGTCGTCAGACCTCCCCTGGACTCTCTGCCTTCCCTTCCTCCTCTGCTCTCTGACTTAACGACTGGGGAGAGTGAGAGAGACGCTCACTCTGAAGAACAGCGCCAAACATACAGCACACTCTGCGCCTGCCCCTCGCAGAGCCTGCAGAGGAATGCAAGTATGTGTGCACGCACCAGTGTGTGTGAGCCTGGCAGCAAAGGGACCCCAACACAGAGGATGTGCTTAGACTACGAGGATCGGTTTACAGGCTCTGCTGGCTCGAGGCTCATGTGGTTGACCTGCCTTTTCGCCCCTGTGTTGACACAAAGAACTTGTCTAAACGTGTGCATTTAATTTATCTGCTCCTGAGATTTAACTCTACTCCCTTCTATACTGTACAGTGACAGGTGCTATATCAAAAGTAGACGCGAGGGAGGTTTATTCCTTTTTTTTTTTTTATAGTCTGACTCTCAACTTTCTTTTGTCTCCTCCTGACAATAGAAAACTTAGATCATGAGAAGTGAGATCTTCTCCTCTTTTAATGGAGGTTGAAGCCCTATATTTCCCAAGACCCTTAAAGGTTTAAGGAATGTTAATAATTAACTGTGTAACCAAAAGGAATTTTGACCGATTTACACAATCACTTAAATAAAATAAGTAAAATATACTTAGCAATAGTCTCTGTGACCCGTCTCGCACAAAAACTGCAGCTAGGGTTAGATTATGGATTGAACTTTTTTGTGCATTGGGTGATCATTGCAGCTTAGTGGCGTTAGGCACTTCAATCACACGACCACAGCAATAATCTTGTTGATTAGTGAATTATATTGATTGGCTGAGTCGTCATTATTCAAATGGTCTCTGAAACCATGACAGTGTTGATGCATTTATTGCACATTCTTTTTTTGAGAAGGTAAGCATAAAACTGCAATTTATCAAATAGAGAAAATGTCCATAACACCCAAACAACAAAGGATATGCACAAGTCAGTCAATGTCTTTACCCAGTATTTTATAAATTAGACATTTCAAATGCAACTGTAGGACTTAGTTCCTAGCATTACAACCAGTCACCACAGGTGTCGCCAAATCAACTAAAACTTACATTTTAAAAAGGAGTACTAGTAGTAACTGTACTAATCACTTGAGGGTTTTTTTTCTCTTTCCTAGGCTTTTAACTTCAGTATTATCTGGATTAATTTGCGGTAATAACAATTGAAAATCTCTTGATTTAAAAACTCACCCAATTTGAATGAGATTCTGCATTTAATGTACAGTATGTCTCCATCCCACACACTCTGCCATGTTTTCAGGAAGAAACAGAAGTGAAATCCAAGAATGAGCAGGGGAAATAGGAATGTGTCTCCATCATTAGGCTAGAAGAAGGAGCAGAGTGAGGAAACACAGCGCTGAAAGGCACCAGATCAAAGGTCAAGTCCTTGTTTTGGACGCCCATTTAAATCTCTGATTCTGGGAGACACAGCTCGCTGAATTCTGGCCGGACTTCAACTTTCCTTTTTTGGTCCAAAACATCCAAATGTGTGTGACAGTGCATGTGCTTGAGTGTGCATGTGCTCCTTCTATGAAGTGGCAATGTGTACAAGTGTTTACCGTCTCCATGTGCCTGCTATAGTATATGCTATACTAAATATGTCTGCACGATCCTGCATGTGTGTGTTTGATAGAGTGTGTGTATTCAGTGATAGCAGGGGGCTGCAAAAAGTTGGGACCTTTGTGTGGGAGCCGAGGGGCGGTGTGAACAAATGCATGAAGGAGACCCAAGATAACAAAACCCTCGAATAACCCAGACTGGCCAAGACACAAAGCATGTGCAAATATCTCTAGGAGCGCTTGTCTTTGTTTGACGTACTTTGGTGGTGCCCTTACATGGGGGCCAGTTACTGTGTCCAAGGGAAACCGAGTGGGAGTTAACTGCCAACTCAAAAATTAAAACTACTCATCACTTCTGTAAAATCTACAAAAACAAAGATTTAATGAAAAAAGTGTTGTTTTCTGTCGAGTCTTCTGTGAACAATGTATTGACCCTTTTGCTAGACAGCATGTACTGTATGTACCCATCAAGTGTAAATGTAAGACTTTTTTCTCCAGAGTCGCCTGAAAAGATTCAACCAACTCTAAGATTTAATATTTACTTGCCATCTATAACTAATAGAAATCTACTAGTTAGTTTCATTTCAGCCAGAAAAAAAAAAACATTTGTCTGCTAAAAATAAGAAATATCTATATTTGTCTATATTTGTGTGAGACTAATTGTTCCAAAGATAATATCAAGAGATAACCACAGCCAGCTTCACAGACGTAACTAAAGGGGATGTTTTTTTGCACTGGCATATATAGAAAGTTAGTATTTGATACCAAATTGTATCCATGCTTTTCATTAAAATATGTTTGAAACCACTTTGCAACATCCACGTCAATATGCTCATATTCTGCTGTATTGCAGCCAGCATTGGCTCATCTGAACAGGCTTATGAGGAAACACAAGCTGTTTATATGTATGTGTCGGTAACTGAGTGGTGTAATCTCAGATCTGATTTCTTTCTGGAATGTAAACTTATTGAGAGAACAAACCCGGTTTTCAAAGCTACAAAAGAACAATAAATTGCTTACCCTTGCGGTCCCATGCCGTTTGTCCTTTACTTCCTGTGAATAAAACACACACCCAGTTTGGTGAAATGCAATAATAATTTTGCTGGTGACAGTCAAATACAGAGCGGTTCATGTCAGTTGTGAGAGGCCTTGAGGCAGCTGGCCTTCATGGGAATCTTGCTAATGTTTTACTTGTCAAAAGTTTGGGAGGACATGTTGTATAGCTTAACATCACTCAGAATGACACTGCCTTCCGCATGTGATCTACAATTGAATGCATGATGTGAGAACATAGAAGATCAGAGTTTTGAGACCTTATTCCAGTCATTCCTATTGTGCTGGCCTTTGCGTATAAGTGAAATAAACTTAAAACAATTCATTTCCACTGGGTAGTGGGAAAACAAACTTAATATTTGTTCACCTAACTATTATAGTTTCAACTAAAGTTTTTGACCACTAGTTGTGCTTTGGAGCAATGTTTTACAACTGCGACCCTGTTTTGTAGGTTTTGTGGACGTAAATAAGGATGCCAGACATTAAAACACAATACTGCAATTGGCTCTACGTATTATGTGGAATCAGCTTCCAGTTTGTGTTCGGGCGGCCGACAGCCTATCCGTTTTAAGAGTACGCTTACGACCTTCCTTTTTGATAAAGCTTATAGCTGATAAAATAATCTAATAAGAGTGCATTGACGTAGATACGCTGTGCCTCTTCACCTACATTTTGGTTCTTGCTCTTTCACTTCAATCCTAAAAACTTGGATCTTATATTTAAAACTAAGGTTATTACTACTACTCATTCTTCTAAATCTTTTCTCTCTCTACTTCTCATACTCCTGTAATCTATTCTTTTTATCCTCTCTTTATCCAAAAACCTTTTCCCTCTCTGACCTTTCGAGGTTTTATTAGAGGGAAACAGGTTTGCAGAGTGGCTTATTCAGGCTGGGGAGTGTTATGGCCGTATTCACAGCTTACCTCCTTACCTCTCATCAATTCCAACTAAGGTTCCAGTGGGAACCTTGCTCCCTGCGTGTGCCTCTCCACCTCTGTTTCTTACTCTCTTACTTGCTACCCTTTTCCCTCAACCTATCCTAAGGGAGTGCTTGTTCTTCCTTCCGTCTGTCTGTGTCTGTGTATTCTGATGTTCCGATTAACCCAGCCTCCCCCAAATGTTCTTGTTTTGTGTCTATATCTACGCCGGGATCCGGAGTCGAGGCTGATCCTCTTGCTGTGGTCCTGTGCCCTGGATCCCCTATCCTGAGTTCTGGATTAAGTCGTGGACTTCGGGTCGTGGCTGGGCCTGTCTCTGCGGTCCTGCCTGGCTCTCGTCATGCTGCTTCCCTGATGGCTCCCACAGGATTGTTGTTGACATCTTCGTGGATTCATCTTCTTATTATAGACACATGCATTTCCAAACATTTGGTCTACCTATGCTGTAAAATGTATTATCTCTTCGATTTACACACGGCATCTATTGCACGTCTGTCCGTCCTGGGAGAGGGATCCCTCCTCTGTTGCTCTCCCTGAGGTTTCTCCCATTTTTCCCTTTAAACTGTGGGTTTTTCTCCGGATGTTTTTCCTTGTACGATGTAAAGGACAGAGGGTGTCGTTTTCTCATACTGATATTCTGCACAAACTGTGCTGTTGTATTTTCTGTAAAGTGTCTTTGCTGTAGGGTATTTTTATTATATGTACAGCACTTTGGCTCGACCAAAAATCGTTTAAAAATGTGCTATATAAATAAAACTTGATTTGATTTAATTGATTTATGTGCAACATCCAAGCAAAGGCAGTAATGAAAAAGACGACAAGCTAGCAAACATGGTCACAACAATGCAGGTGTCTCATGTCTATCTTTCCCTGGTGGTTTATCTGTGCTGCTGGTCCAATATCTGGTTATGTAACGTGTTATATTTGGTTTTCCATAATACCCTAGATCTTAAAGTCTGATTTGGCCATGGGATAACTTTGATCTCTAGTTTAACTCTATTCTTTAGGTTCGGTCAGGACATCCATGTCACAAAAACAAACACAACCACTGACTAAGGATAGAATACAAATCAATCTATTAAA